CCCTGCCCCATGTAGAGCAATATTTAGTGCACTGCCACTCAGCAGACAGAATTCCTACAAATGGATAGCAGTATCAAATCTGGGTGCTGATTTGCTTCATTATTTTAACAGTGGCTAATTTTCCCTTTAGATTTCCCCTTGCCATGACCTGCAGAAAAGTCTCTGAGCCCACAAGCTTATTTGATTTCTCTTTCCGTGTCAGCTGGTTAAATAAAAGATGTCTTCTTGCAAACCTTGTTTCCTATTTCTTAGACCATCATACCTCAACAGAATGTTAATACTATGTCTGTATTTTTTATTTTAGGTAATCTCTACTTTCAAGTTCATTAATAATTCAGCTTTTGCTCCCTGTGTAATAAGAGATATTTTTTTTGTAATAGCTTTCTTCTATCTTTTTTAGCTATTGTTCTGTAATCAGGGAACAAAAATATTCTTGTTGTTCTTCCAATTGATTTTTTTCTATGTCTGCTGCTTTTGAGATTTGATCTCCATCCTTGGGTTGTGAGAGGGTTAAAGCAATTGTAGAGTGAGGTTTGTTGGGCAAACCTCTTTTTTTTTTTCTCTCTCTCTCCTTTTTTTTTTTTCTTTTTCTGTTTAGAAGGTCACTTTTAATTTCTCTGTACACTGTCCTTAGAAAAAGCTTTTTCCAATAATGTTGATGTGTCATCTGCACTTTTACATGGGTCTTGTTGTTTTGAAGAGATGTGTTGTGGTGTAGCTACTCTGGAGATTTTTATTATTGTTTTGGTTATTCTGCAGATTAATAAGACAAAAATGTTCTCCTTATTTTCCCATCTGATTTTGAAATGCAGCACAATTAAGAAAAAGCCTGACTGGAAAGCCAATATTTTGATTCTTATTGATCATTCCTAGGAGTTTAAAATACCTTTTCTTGAGCATTTACCTTGTGTGAATCTCTTACCGAGTGGCATCAGCAGTCTATTATCTGCTTAATCTAAATAGGTGGCAATTAGGCAAACTGTTATTGTTTCCACCCTATAGGCCTCAGGGATTCATGAGCAAAGATGTGGTTCTCCAGGTAATAGGAAAAGTTTGAACTGAATCTTAGGTAGTGGAATATGAACAATTGCTTTTTGAGTTTGGTAGGCAATAAAAAAAAAAAAACAAGCACCTAAAAAAAAACAACTTATGATTAACATGAAATAACATTTTTAAAAATTCCTTTTCAAGAAAAATCACCACAAGAAATTAGCTTTTTAACGTTCACTTTCGAAACCTCAAATCAACCCTTTTATCTGCTCTAGTATTTCTTTAAATAAAACATTTCAAAATGAAGTGTATTCACTTCAGAAAATATTACTTCTGTAGTGAGCTTTGTAATTGTTAGATGGAGAACACTTCTTCTAGTATTGATGTTACTATCAGAATCTGTTGTCAAGAAGATTTTACGCAGAAATCTCTCAGAACAAGAGGCCTTCAGAGTTACTGAAACACAGTCATCTTTTCCCTCTTCAAAATTTAGCTCAGTCTCCAGAAACAGCCTTCTAATTAGCCCACAGCTGGCAGCACCAAAGGATATTGTGTTACTCACTCAGGATATGCTGATTCAGCCTTATGAAATTCAACTTGAAAATTCAGAAAAATACATTAAAGCAAAAGTGTTTGTTTTTTGTTTTTGTTTTTTTTAAAAATAATTTAATCTGCTGTAAATTTAATTTTCCAAGTTGACCAGAACCCATTACCTGTAAAGAACAAGTCCTTAATACTGGGTTTCATCAGTTTTGGATCTTCTCAGCTCGCTTTACTCTAGTGCAAAGAGATACTTCATAATGTACAATATATGTACTTGCAGCATTTCTCTTTGGAATAGGGATCAAAGGCATTACTTTGGATAAACAGATAAGAAAATATCTCTACAGTCATTAATAATAGATATTCTCAAAACAAATGATTCCTGAGGCGCAAAACAAATACATGAAGAAAATGAGCGTGACATTGACATAAAAAATGGTATCTTAGATTTGTGTTACAATAGTAACCTAAGGTAAAACCTAAACATTTACAGAAGTAGTTTGAATTCTGCCTTTTTTCTCAGAGAAAAGAGCTACAGACTAGCCTACCTGCCATCTACGGTATCTAGTCTGCTATAAAGCATTAATCACCCTACTTCTGGGAACTGCTTGGTGATGTTCTCATGATGTTTATTATTTTTCGTTCTTGTACTGTCATCTCAGTTTTCTTGCAAAAGAAGTTGAGAATTAATTTCCATCTTTAACCACAAACTAAGTTCAATTGAAATGTAGTAAGAAAAGAACATGACAAAACTGATGATTTAGGATTCCATGTTTATTAGTGCTCAGTGACTTCCATATAAAATATATGTTATGCACCAATCCAAGGATGATTTTGTAGCTGCTATCTTTGAAAGCTTATCTTGGGATCTGCTAATTAAGCTTTCCTTTGTCTATAACATACATCAGCAGCAGCAGTAGTGACGTGTAATGTTCCAAAGTTTGGTTGTGTTTTTTTATAAAGAGATACAAGAAAACCAAGGTGCAACATGTTCACCTGCCATTTAAAAATGAAAGCTTTTATTAAGTGCAATCCAGGAATATGCTATGGTCATATGGATATATAATTGCCTGAAGTGTAAATTTTACATCTTTTTTTGAAGTATGTGGTTCTTGACATTATTAGAGAGAATAAGATAAGATAGGGCTCTATTTTGTCAACCTTTCCTTTATTTCTAGGCCAAGCACATACCCTGCAGCCTGCAAAAAGAACTGGAAAGGGACTTATACTTTCTAAAGATCAATTAATTTTAATCATGCATCTAAATGTGTACAGCAGTCAAGATCAAGCAAGAGTGGTTGAAAAAGGTTGTGATTTTTCAGGGGCATTTACGTTTATTTAAGCAGCGCTTGCTCTTACTGTCTCTTATGCACTATCCCCTCAGTGTGACTGTAGCACAGCGTCAAGCTGTGAACTGAATCAGGGAACTGATGCAAACTTTAAAAAGAAACAAACTGAGATAGAAGAAAATTAAAGGAAGGACGGAGGCTGCTCAAGCAAGGAAAACTGCCAGAGGAGTTGCTCATTAAAACATGGTTTGACTGATTGACAGTTGATTAGGGGTTGCCAGGGTTGTGCGTTTGTACATATACGTCTATTTCCTCTTGTAATTCTAGCTGTAACTGAGCAAATCACTTTTGAGCTCATCATTTGCCTAGGTTATTAATTTAATTATTGATTTCTCTTAGGTTATTAAATTCTTTAATGTTACACAGTATTTTTAGTTGGAGAATTTTTTGAGTGATGACTGTGTTTTGGATTTTGTGTTAATGAATGAAATTATTAAGCTCGTAAGAATGTTATGAGCAACAAGTTGTAAATAAAAAAGAAAAAAAAGGAGGACTTTAATGTCAATATAATGTTTTGTAGTGGTAATCTAATGATTGCTTTGTTTGAATATTAAGACTAAAACATCCATGATTTGACAAATCTCTGCTGGCTGATTACTGCTTCACTGAGGAAACTGTATTATTAAAAATTCAATTGAAAAGAAAAACAAAAACAAAACAGATTTTCATCTTTTAGAGCTTCATTACATAAGAAAGACTGACTGGAGGGGAAAATACTGAAAAATAATGCAAGAGAATGAAGGAAAACAATTAAAAGGAAATGAGAACAGAGGAGAAAAAGTGGTAGAAGAGAGTAGGATAATAACAAGATTATAAACATCACTAAAATATCTGTAAAGGAATCTTTTACAATTAAAAGTGCATTAAGTAATTGCAAATCCGAACAAAAAAATTTAAAATATTTTGTAGGTACTGTGACAAATGCTTTTTAATTCTCTTTCTGTTCCTCCCCAGTGTAATCACCAGTCTGTTTGACATTTCAGTGCAGACATGGCTAACCTCATTATTTTCTTGAGGAAAATTAAAAATTCTCTGTGTGTATGTTGGTATTTTTATGTGTTACAGTCATGACACCAGAGAACTAGGTGTGGATCTCTGGGAAGTATCACCCAATAAAGAGGCAAGGTGTGCTGTGGAAAGATGAATACAAATCTTTCTTGAAGGCCCTTCATTATTTATAGATCATCTAAAATCTCTGTCAGTTCTGGTTCTGAGGTAATATTTTACTTTCCTATTCCATATTACGAAAATGCTGAACAAAATGCGAATTCTATTCTGCTTTATCATGGATAAATCTTTCATAAGATCTTTATTCAGTCTGCTTTTTTCAAAGACACAAGATATGGATAAGACTGTCTAAGAATCACCTCTGGTGAGAACCGAGAAATTACTTAGGCATGTATGAGACATCCTGGGCTGGATAGCAGTTCTTTTGTTTTACCAGCAAGTGGTCATGAGATCTTCCACAACCTTTCCCTAATTCTGAAGACAACAACTTAATGTCATATTTGGGAATAATGGTAAATTCATACTGAGTCTACATCTAAAGCCATATTTAAATTGGAAATTACAGTAGAGACAAGAAATAAGCATCAGTCATCATTGGCAACACCTTAATCCCTGTTTCTTTTCAGGAATATGCATTGGAGTAGTAATCGCTTGTCAAATTGTGACCCAATTGTGACTGGGTCTGTGATTCTGAAATCTGTTACTGTCAAATTTGACCCAAAATTGCTATCTGAAGTGTGTGTATCTGCATTATCTGTGCAAAAATGTATTAAGTAGTGAATATTCTTAGCGCTTGGTTTACTTGTGCTCCCTCTGGGGTTGTTCCTTTGCGCCAATAAACCAGACTTATTTAGAACTGTTGGCACTCATCCACCATTTCCTTGTTAAATGTTTAGAATTTGTAAGTGTTGTGACCCTTTTTGCCAATGCAAGTAATCCTAATTCTAGCAATTTACACTTGTCACTTTGCTTTAAACTCCATTACTGCACACTGAAATTCTACACAAAATGGCTTGGAGACCATTTAATAAATAACAAATTGGAGATAGAGGGATTTTGTCCCTTATGTCACAATTAATTATTTTTTTGGGTTTTGTTTTTGTGTTGCAGAACTGTGACGTAGCCCAGCAGAGTATTGTGCATATTGTTCAGAATCCACAGAAGAGCAGCCAGAACAAAGATGAGACAGAAGATAGCCATGCTGAGGGTATTCTAAAAGCCTTGGAAAGAAAACCTGAAAGTCTAACTCGAATAGATCTCAGCACCAGCATTCTCCCATCACTATCTGCAGGGTTGGCTGTTATTCTGGACACTACAAAAAACAGCGTTCCTCTTTCTTCTGAAAAATCAGGTAAATAAGTGTTTTGCTACATTTCAATGCACAGACCTGAAGATTTCTCTGTTTCTTTCTTAGGGTGAACAGTTCTATACCACACGAAAAAAACACAACAACATACGGTTTCTTTTGGTTATGAAACAACAAAAAATACAGCTGTATTAAGAGATGATGAACATCTGAGGTGTCTTCTAGCAAAATAATTTTGCTTTGTGGATAAATAGAATTAATTCTTGTGTTGTTCTTGTCTCTAACTTGCATTATGCTAATATTTTTACAAATTATTACAAATTGGCAAAAACCCCAGAGGTCTGTGAGAAGGCAAAAAAAAAAAAAAGTCTGTAAACTTTCCACTACAGAAATTTCCTCAACTAGAATGCTGGGCATCTTATGCATTGCAAATGTGTTTAATTCCCAATCTGTTGTAATGTTTTCATACCCATACGTTTTGTTAAAAAATATTTCTATTCAATAGATTTATTATTTATGAAAACATAGCTGGCACAAAATATGATGGTGATTCATACTATGGATTTTATTTCTTCATCCACCAAATTATTACTAAGAATGTCTTGTCTTCATGATGAAAAATTATCTGAGGCACAAGTTAGGTTACTGCAAATGGGTTGTGCCATAGTATTTAAAATTGTTAATTAGAGAGAAGCTGAAGTTAGAAGGAAATACAAGAACCTCTTAGCTATTTCATGTTATCTTCTCTGAGTAAACCCCTCCTCATACACAGTCAAGCTAATCTTTACTCACAACTAAGTTTGTCCCCAGTGAAGAGACACCATTCTGCACAACAACAGACTCTGTTGTGATCTGTCAGAATAGTCCATCAGAGATGTCTTTTTTGGAAAGGCAAGTACACAGATACCTTTTATACACAATGCGGAAGATAATACCAAACATAGGTCCAGATAATTTTGAAAATGACAGAGATACCTCTGATACTAACATGACCACAGAAATCCCCATGCTTAATAAAATGGCTACTAAAACTGTTAAAATAATTTATTGAGAATTTCTTAAGTAACTCATGCAGAAAATACACAATTCGTGGGAGGGTCACAGAAGTATTCCACAACTGACTTTATCAACCTCTCACTGCCAACTAATGATGAATGAGTGCAGTTTAGGAACAAATTAGTACCCAGCTTAATGATCCACATCTCCCAATCTGAATGAATAATGAGATAAGAGGGGTGCATGCCAATTTAAATCTGGTAAACTACAGAGAGGATTTCAGACTGGACTTACTATCAAAAGCCAGGCAATGGTGTGTCCTTTCCAATGCTACTACGTATTTATTTTTTTCACTGCTGTACATTAGATGTACAGAGCTTTAATAGTTGTGTTGCTCTTTACAGAATAGTTTGTACATGTGTAAGGCCTTTTAAAATCTGTCATATGGTGTGTATTTCCACAGACTACAAACTCTCTGAAGCCAAGTACTAACTGATATGTGTCATCTATTGCAGCAAATATTTTCATGGCAGAATGGCAAGTGAGGAAAAATATGTTCAGAATATATGTGGACTAGTTTTATCTGTAAGTTAAACAGGCTTTAACAGATATAAAAAAGTGATGAGCTGATTCGCAGTCTCTTACTGTGAGAGTCTGATATATGAAAGACACAGGCAAAAACTTTTAGAAAGGGAAATAATAATTTAGGGTTTGGATAGTCAGTCAATTCTGAGAAAAGCTCTGATGGAATGAAAAAAAATAATAATCATTAAACTGGGAATATTGCTGACATGGTACAAATGAGTAGCATTCTGATGACTGTGTGCTAAATAATTCCTGTGCTCAATAATTGTTATTGCACTTTTATATGATTCTTGTAATCAAAAAACACTAAAAGGATGTGAATGTTAGTGTCAGGTTTGCTTGAATTAATTAGTAGTCTAAGCTCCTGAAGTGTTTTAAAATTGCATAATAATTTTAAAAAACCTATAACATCAAATTAGTTCCACATAGGGTATGGTATGGTGTATATCTCTATGTCCCCTTTTCAATGTGGTGTTAGGCTGAGTACACGTACCCAGTACCAAGCTCAGTACAACTAGAGTTCTCTTTTTATCCTTGTTTTGAGAATGACATCAAAACATGGGCACTGATACATCTAAGATGGTCTCCAGCACTGCAAGAACATCTCTGTTGATGCTCCGAGACATGAAGCTCTTTAAGTGTTCAGCAACTGCCTCAGACAAACTAATACAACACAACTTATTTTCTCCTGACCTAATTTTGCTTCGCTGTCTCACAAACCTAAATATCTAAGAACTTACTATTCCCTTAGAAAATGGAAGAGACATAAAAATGTTCTCATGTCATTTTGCTGCATTTTTACATAGGAAATTAATCAGTATAAAGATTTTTTCCCCTTGGCATCTGTACCAATATTTTTTTGATTAATTATAACAAATTAATTAATGAAATGTACTTTTGGTCCATGGTATCGTAAATCAATATTTTGAGGAAGGGAAATCAGTATTTTGTGCAATTTTGTCCTAATTTTGTGAAACTAGGTCCTTTTTTCCCAGACTTACACTGACCTTTCTTAAATTTCCTGAAATATTAATACACCATTTAATGGTGGTTACATGGTTCTTATGATAGGTCTTTCAACTGACATTAACTTGAATAAGATTCATATTGCTGTGCAAGAAAAAGTAACAAATTACTTAATATGCAACCAATGTATAATTTCAGTAGATACATTCAAGTAACTGTTTAGGTTACTATGTTAATTTGAATTTAGTGCCCTGACAGTTTACTTTTGTAGTAAGATTAAACTACTTCTAATGTAAATAAGAATGCATGATGTAGCACATTTGATTAAGAGTTTTAAAAATGCATTATTTTACACATTTTAAAATATGGAATGCAAAATCAATTTGAGGATCAATCTACATCCAGAAAAGGGGAGGAACTACTATTTATTTAAAAAAAAACAGCAGAAAGTACCAACTCAGCAATAACATAATACTCCCAATTTTGGCAAATACTTTCTGGGAAGCATGGCTACACTTGTCTACTTGACATGCTGTGTAAATGTACTGTAGGTACAATTTTATTTTAAACTTTAAAATAAAACTTTACAAAATTCCTGCATTAACAACTCAGTCTGTGCTAATGGTTAGTTACTGCGTTGTTAATTGTTACAACTATGCAGCCAGTACATAACAAAAAATGTTAGACTTCAGCTGTTAGACCTTTTGTCCTAAATTTGCTGTGATTATACAATACCACAGAGCTGATGCCATGTGGGCTACGCTGATGCCTTATAGTCACAGAAATCAAATTAATAAGATCCAAAAGCTCTTCAACAAGAGAAACTAAAACAAAGGCAGACTTGTCCTCCTTCTTCTGCATCTTTTCATTTCTTGATTGATATTTGTATACTACTTGCCTCCAGCCCAAGAGGGAATCTCTTCTGCATCCCTTACTGCATACCTGGATTTTGGTTTTGCCAGTTCCCTTTCATGGGTATTCCATACCTGCAAGATATTCTGCCCATTTTCAATCCCTTGGGCTTGTTTTGTTTTGGTTTACAACCTTTTTTGCATCTGGATACCTCTTGTGTGCAACTACAAAAATCTTTGCCCCTTTGGTGGTCATAGTACTCCCACACTTCATTCAGAATGCTTACCCATTCTGCCTGACTAGGTCATCACAGCATTAAAATATGCTTTTCAGAGATAACCATAGTTTAAATGTACTCATCTGGGGTCTGAAAATCCAGGTGTGTACTAGAGGTTTATGACCATACATTTGTATGTGGTGCAATGAGATTACATTTAATTTTAAATCAGTCCTGCTAAGTATTTCCTATGTGTTGAATGAGAACTTCTTTAATTTTTTTAATTAGTTTGCAAGCTGATTGGTGAATGTATTTTAGAAGTTCACAAACTGTGATCCATGTTTGAAGCTGAGATCCAGAAGGATATTGATGATCCATTGACATAATGATCACAGTGCTGTAGCTCCACATACTTGTTTTCAACTGTTAAATTATATTGCAATCATGTCAGTATATGTTAAATTACTCCTCTTGATTAGTTGCTATAACCTCTTGGATATTGCTGTATGAGTATGTTTGGAGGCTGGGGAAGGCATGTCCATGAGACAATACTTCCCAATAAAAGTAATTCATTACATGATAATGTTCCTGAAACAATGCTCTATTTTTTGATGCAGAGCATATAAGAGGTTTTCTTAAATCAAGTCACATCTCAGCCACAAAGTAATTATTATACAAAATCAAACCAATTGTCTATCTAAATCTAGTTCTATTCCTCTTTTAATACTTACCTGTTTCATGTCCTATCGTTGAATAAAAAGGTTTTCTTATTTTATAATGCTATACTTAGAGAAGGAGTATTCCTTTTAGTAAGTAATTGCCTCTGTTTAATTATCCTTCATGTCTGCTATCTGGGTAAGATGACAGGAACGATAATGGTGTTCTCTAATCTGACCTTCATTGAAATAGCACTTCCTAAACAGTGGCCAGTGTCAACTCAAGGGTTAATTGAAGAACAGAGAGAGAGTGTTTAGCTCACCAATTAACTAGTTCTGTCAAAATTTCTTTTGAAATAGTTAAGCTTAAAAAAAAATAATATCTGTCCATTATGCTTCCAGTGGGGTTATGAAAATTCGTCATTACAAAGTCCTTGGAAGTTTGCTCTTATGTATATTATATCTTCTGTTAGGGTTATTAACCCTTGACAACTCACTGCTGCAGTATTTCTAAGTTCTATATATAGAAACTGATATCCCCTTTCACCTTCCAGCAACAGCAAAAAGTGATTTTATAAGACATTAGCATAATGGAACCTTTTCAATAAAATGATAAATTGAACCCATTTCAGAAAACAGAACACACACTTGATAATTGATTGCAGCTGGAGAACTCATTCATATCATATGCTTTTAACACTGATGAGAATGGTGCCATTTTCCCACACCTTGCATGTCTGTGAAATACATTTGAGAGGAGAAATGTTCTTTTC